GCACACTCAGCAAATTTCTGTTGAACACAAAATGGACTAAAATTGATGATGCCACTTGATATGGTGAATGAGTTTTTCATTTATTTCTATTTGAACTATCAGTATGTACTCGCAGGTATTTGGTACTTCCGTTTCCCGGTCATTCATGCGCAACTGGAGTTTTCATTTTTCAATCGCCCACAATGCAACGAAAATTTCAATACGCTGCTTGATTTCTTTATTTCTTTGCCTTTTTTTGTATTCTGTTTTTATTCTTGATTTGCAGTTTGATTTTTCATTTCATTTTTCATTTGCTTGGCATTATTTTTTTTTGCATTGCTTCTCTTGCATTTTCTTCCGTAGGTATTTTGATATTTGTGCTCTGTGTGGTTATGTTGCATGCGACAAAGGCGCCCGGGGCGAGACTTCGTGCATCTTTTGCGGTACACCTGCTGTGTGGAGTCCAATGCTTGAACGTTTAATTAGCAGCACTTTGATTTGTCCGTCCTACTCTTAAGCACATCAATTCGCAAGGTTATTTGCACGAAAATACCTGCATTTGTACTTTGATATGTCTATGTACAGTGGTGTGTAAAAAAATAGCAACGTTTATCGTAAATTGTGCAATTCAAATATATTTAGAGTAGAAGAAAGATTGCTGCGAAGGTCGCTCTAAGACTCAGGAAGCTGCGTAAATGAAAGGGTTCAAATAGGGGTATTCTGATATTCACTCCTTCTTCCACTACATCGCTAAAAACTTGGACCACTGCGTCGCAGAGTCTACTCCTGTTGACTTTTTCAACGCTTATATGCCGACGAGAGGTATGTGGACGGGACGAAGTCGCTGTAGAAGAAGCGCTGTGAGTTTTTTCACGTATGGGTCAAAGCTCAAGTTGAAGGGGAAATTTTGTGTATATAGCTCTCTGAACAAGCTTAGTTTTAGGCTACCGTATCTATGCGTCACTGTGGTAGTTTTCAGCCAGAAGTAGGTGCGATTAAAGTAGTTACAGATGTAACGCTCCGAAGTGTAGCCTCTTATAAGGAGAGTAGCAATCACACTGACAGCTAATCGGCTATACTAGCGTTAAGCTCGCTTACTGCGGCTACAAAGTTAGTTAAGAAATGTCTGTCCGCACTATCAATAGTAGCAAGCTACTTCATTATTAGACTCGTTTGGGTTCCTAGTCATAGCGGAATAGCTGAAAACTGCAAATCCGATGAGATCGCAAGAGGGAGCACCCTTGTCGCACTTACATCGAAGTGGGAATGAGCTGGATCTCCATTGCGACGCCTCAGCGCTACAATTTCCGAACAAATTGTTCAGATCGCAACATTATAGCTTATAGCTGTCATACAAACTGACCGATCAAAATCAGTATATTGTAAAAATCTTTTTAAATATTTTTATGCTATAAAAAATACATCTGTGAAGGGAATTCTAGTTTCGGTGCAACCGAAATTTACAAGTTTTCTTGTTTTTATTCATAATTCAATGCATGTGTTGTTTGCTTCTTACGCAACTTCTTCTTTGTTAGTAACAAAGTTTCCAAGTCTTATCCAACCAATCGCTTATTCAGTGTAATATATTTACCATGTAATATTTTAATTTTACTTTTATGCAAAATGTGAATATAAAATAGGAATTTATTGCCGTAAAGCGTTGCGTGCGTCGTCGAGGGAGCGCATTCACTTGTAAATCCCTGAATGGAAAGATATTCAATATAAAGGAATCAAGTTGAGTCAACTGCACAGAAAGTGCATCAACTTGGCTTACTGGAATAACAAAGGCAAAACTATCACACACTGCAGCTCTCTTGCTACTTAGGTATTCAAATGCAAGCATGTTCATATGTATGTTTAATATGTGTGCAAACGTGCGGTGGCATTGTGTCACACCACCCAGTAGTATCAGTAGTAAGGCAAGCTCTCTCAAAGGTAATGCAAAACTAGACCATTGCAGCACGAACGAAATACTTCGGCAAAGTTCAATATGCCACTAACAACTAACGATGGCAATAACGATTTATTAAGTTTCGTTTGGTACGTATTTGGAGCTTAACGGTATATGTAGTGTTGACGCCAACAATAAAGTCAGGTTTTTTAAGAGCATATGAACAGCGGAGAGCGAGTGTAAAGTGCGCATACCTACTACGTAGTTGTGACATTTGTTGCCACTACTTAATGTTGCAACAACATGGCAACGTCACAACAGCGAACGTACATGCATTTAACGGTGTCGAACAGAACCGCGCGTACAGCAACTCAATGGCTAAGAAGATGATTTATGTGCATCCCTATACTGGCATAACAATAGCGCCAAGCATATTGACGAGTCGCTGCTGCAGTTAGACATAGTTATGTGCATGCAAGTGCGCGGTAATGTTGGCTTTTTGATCACTCATACGCCATGTACGTCAATAAATGGCTCATGTGTGCAGCCTAGTTTGCCATTATACGACAAATATATAGCATCGTGCTTGTGTACACAAGCATTTAGGTTATCGCATCTGTGTCAAAATAATGTAATATATTAGATGTATTTAAGATAGACGAGTACACATGTATATATGCTGCACCTGCTATGCAGCTCAATTTAATTAAATTACTTTTGTAAAGATATTCGATTTTTGAAACTGACTGAATATTTCAAGTAGTTGCCCAAATAGGCTGCATAAAACATTAAAAAATCTTAACTTTGATCACAGCGAAGCTAAAGGTTAAAAAAATATCTTTATCTTGATTTTATTCGAACAGTTTGTATGAGAGCTATACGCTATAGTGGTCCGAACTGAACAATAACTTCAAAGATTGTAGCGTTGTCTTGAGTATAAATCCATGCAAAATAATATCTCGTATAAAGAAAAAGTGTATCACACAAGGACTTGAGTTTGATCGGTCAGTTTGTATGGCAGCTCTATCTTATAATGGTCCAATAACACGGGTTTCGACAATTGAGCAACATCTTGAGAAGAAAAGGACGTGTGCAAAATTTCAGATCGATATCTCAAAAACTGAGGCATTTGTTTGTGTATATACAGACAGAAGGACATAATTAACTCGATTTAGCTAGTCACGGTTCTCCGACGTATCTTTGTGGGATTTGCCTACTTCATTGCAAATTTAATATAACCAGTACAGGGTATAATAATAGTAAATCTCCGAAAATCGAAGTCGGTCGCGATAACTGACACTCTAAGGATATCAAAGGATACCATATGTCTAGTCAAGAGATCTTTACTAAGCGAGCTGCTTAATCGTAAGAAACCCGATAACGGTGTATACCATATGTTAACCGATGAAACTTGGCACCATAATTTCACTCCGAGTGCAAGAGGCAGGCATCGAATGAATCGAAAGAGTGGAAATACTCAATGGTTCTGGAATAAAGTGGGAAGCCATCAGCAGTGACTCTTTTATAGCTAGTAAAATTGCATGAGTCATCGTATTACTTTCAGATCTAAGCTAATTTTTCGGAAAGATATTTGGAGACAGCGACCTCTTGTTGAAACACATTTAATGTGAAATGATCAATGACTTGCAAAGAGGATTACTGGATAGTATACTGTCAGGAACTATCTTTCAACTCCAGTTTCCAGCTATCTGATCATTGCATCGATTTTCAAGCGGACCATTAAAACAGAAGTAAATCTACTGCTCCGTCGCGCAGACTTCTTCAGAGAAGTGACCATACACTCTGATAGTAAGACGGCAATACTAGCCTTGAGCTCGCTGGATTTTTTATCTTTATCATCGAGTTTCTTCATGATTAGACCAGTTTAGATGCCTGGCCACAGCGAAATTGAAGGAAACTGCAAGGTTGATGAGCTTGCTAGGTCAGGTACTACAGTCTCATTAGCTGCAGAACGGGAGGGAGTAGAAGCAACGCTGGTTTCTTACGATTCACTACTAGATGGTTGGGCCTGGGGTGAGTATTGCAAGCGCTGGTCAGCTCATAGTAACTGTGCAGCCGCCAGGTCCTACTGAAGCAGAGTAAATCTTAAGTGTCTAGTGAGCTCTGAGGTGTCCAATCGGGATGCATTGGATAAGATTAAAATTTTTACCTGATGCTAGTTGCATACGCTGATTGGGACAAGGTAAGTTAAAGTCAACTTCATCATCCTTCTTGAATGTCCCGCCTTTGGCAGAACAAGGCTATCGGCCAAGGATCTCATACTTTTGTACAGGCAGTCGAAATAGCAGAAATAGGGATAAAGCACCTAAGCAGATTTTTGGTGGGTTGGAGGCGCTTTGTCGATATTTTAAATCCTACTACAGCGGTTCTTATTTGACTTCACAAAGGATTGTTTAAGTGTGATCATCCCGCTGTCTAACCTAATCTAACTAACTAGACTACCAAAATAAATCTGGGTGATAAATTATATTCAGTGTAGAGAAAGGTTAGCCAAATAAAATCAGTTGCAATGCTAAGCATTTTTATACGTGGGTGTTGCCACCTAATTAACAACTTTAATTAAATTACTTAATAATTCAAATATTTATCGATAAGTGTTGCCACCTAATTGATAACAGCTATTGAAAAAAGTTAAAATGAAAATATTTATTGATAATTAACATAATTTTTGGAACAAAATAAAATTGAAAATATTTACTGTTAAAAGTTGTCAGCTAATTAACAATTTTTATTGAATTAAATGAATATTAAAATATTTTTTGATAAGTGTTGCCACCTAATTAAAAATATTTTTGAAACAAAATGAAATTGAAAGTATTTACTGTTAAAAGTTGTCAGCTAATTAACAATTTTTATTGAATTAAATGGAAATTAAAATATTTATTGATAAGTGTTGCCACCTTATTAACAATTTTTATTGAATAATATATACTTGTAGTTGTTGTATAAATATGTACTTCAAAAAAATGAAATAATGTTATTCTTATTTTTTAAAGATTTTCTAAAATTTTGGTGCCATTTAAAAGCGAAGCCGTTGCTTCGATCTAACGGTAAATAGCAAGTAACACTGCAACTCAATAAAAAACAACAAATTTTTGTTTCGACTCACCTTGTTTGAGTAGCCGTTGAACTTAAGTAGCTTCTTGCATGACTTTCCACGGCTCTCGAAGTAGATTTCCTGCGGCGTGCGCCGCGACTGCGGACGGCGCGTATGACCCGCGTTGCATACAGCCGAGACGACAGCCGCGGCACTCGGTGTAACCGGCACATTCACATGCAACGCTTGATGATTTCCACCATTGGAAGGCAGCAGACTATTCAAATTATTATAGTCACTGCTGCTGCTGGCTGTTTTGGCTGTGCCAGCGCTGCCGGAGCAAAGCAACCGACCGAGTATGCCGCAACAGCCGATGCGATGAGGCGGCGGAGTGCCTACAGCGACCGGACGCAAGGCAAATGATGGTGCGGTGTTGTTATTGTTGAATTTATTATTGTTGCTGTAGGAGCCCGCCGATATGGTCATTAGTTCAATGGCGCTTGCTTTACGCAGATTAACATCCATTTCCATGGCACGGAACAAGGCGACCGTGTGTGTGGTTGCAGTGGGTAAGCTTACCGGAATACCTACTGTGTCCGGTTGCAACAAAATAGAGCGCTAATTGTACGCGCTGCTTTTCCGTTGAAGTTGCTGTTTAAATTTTTAAAATGTGTGCTTTGCGTGTACTAGCCAAACGCTCAACCAAGTGGCTGCTGATTTTATAATTCAACTTAGTTAATTTTTTTTTTGTGCTGTATTCGCCGTTTTTACAAGTCAGCCGCTTTGCCACGACCGCGTTCTGCAGTCTCTAAGTGTTCATTAAGTTCTTGTTGCCAAAACTGAATAAGAATTTCTTTGCCGCTTACGCTCAAGTCGAACTACACGCTATAACACACATGCGTAGATTTATAACGGCAATACTATTATCAGTTACATACAAATTTCGTAAATATAATATTCTAGTGTATAAATTGTGCCGAAGTATAGCAACTTGTGGCTGGACCCGAGCTGTGGCGTTTAGTTGGTCTTCTACTTAATACTCTCTTCCCGTATTTATGTGCGTGGCACTTGTTTGTAGTGCAGCTACTTACTGCTGACGTAGTTGCTGTTTTTGTTGGCATCCAACAAACTTTGTTCCATATGTAGCGTGTGTATCCTGCTTGTTTGCGTGTTGCCACCATCGGCTCTCACACTTACTTATCACTCAATTTGCAACTTGTCAAGTTTTTTGTTGACGTTATTTGAATATATTTTATGCATTCCAGTGAGTTTCTTAATTTTGAAATATTTGTTGATATTGCTGTGTGTTTTTGTTATTTTTTGCTAAAGTTTTTAATTGCGCAGTTGCCTGTTTTGTTAGTGTTTCTTTGGCTTTTCTTAGCTGTTTACAGTTTGCGCCACAATTTAATCACTTTAAAAGACATTAATAAATTTTGCTTAATGACGTTTCCGCAAAACAAGCGAAGCTTAATTTTATGGTCCAGATCTTTGGGGAGTCATTTATAATGGAAAAATGTGTCTGTGCTGATAAGGGTTGCTGAAGTGTACGTGGCAAGCTTACGTCGTCAATTGTCAGTTAGTATTAAGTATTTTTTAATTAGTGATGAATACTTGAAGTTCATAATTCAAGTGTCTTTATGTTGTATTAAAGTGCTTATATAATTAAGATGGGCTTGTGATTTATATTTATAAAAGCCGTCTTAAATGGTAAGGTTGTTCGAGGAGAAAAAGTAGCAGATAGTTATACGGCGCAGTAATTATTTTAATATTACGCTAAATGAAGTATTCACAGTTAATACTTCTTAGTGCAGAGAGCAGAAATACAGTAATTTTATTAGCCTTTAGAAAAAAAGAGATGCTTATGTATTTTTTTGTAGGTAATTATTAGGTAATATAAGGTCTAAGCTCAGTAATGTTTGAGTACGCGTCAAAGTTGCACCACAGCAAAGCGAAAATGTTTGATGTTACAGTTTTTCTTCGATAAAGTCAAAAACGCAAGCCAAGTTATCTTATATAATATGTTTGGTAGGATTGGCAAGAAGTCATCTACTATGAGCTGTTTCCCTACGGTCATACTCTTAATTTGGAGCTTTGCTTTCAACAACTGGACGGTCTGAACGCAGCAGTCGCTTAGAAACGGTCAGCTTTGGTCAATAAAAGAGAAATTGTGTTCTATCAGGACAACGCCACTCCACACACATCAATAGTAACTCGCTAGCAGCTCGGGAAGCTTCGTTCGGAGGTTCTTATGTATCGACTTTATAGTCCGAACATGACACCAAGAGATTAGTATGTCTTCCTGCTTATGGCAATTGACTTTGCTGGTCAAAAATTCGTCTCAAGAGACGCTAGTGAAACCGACACAGTTGCTTTTTTTTACCAACAGGGACGAGTGTTTCTGTGTAAGGAATAAAGAATAAAACAAAGCTACAACTTATTTTATAGTTTTGCTGTTTGATCTGATTATAGAAGCGAAATTTTGGCCGGCTGACAAAGAAATGATCGTGACTAATGGACTTCCCATTTGCCTCTTTATAAATATATATTTGAAGCAAATATTTCCATTATCTTAATCGTACGGTCTCTGCAGACGATTTCCTTGTATCAGTCCAGTCGATCTTGAATTATAAATTGGAGCTTATAGTTGGAGCTTACTTTTGCGCCTATGTTACAAAAGAATCTGTTGAAATTTAAAGGATGAAAAAATTTGTAAAGCAGTTGCAAGTCAGTATTTTCTTCAGATCGCAATTCATCGAGTATATAACCGAATAGTCGCTACCTAAGGTTTTTTGGCTGATCTTCAAAATAGAAATCGCGCTTGGACCACTATATACCGTTCTTTGTAAAGCCAAAAAAATATAACTGTTGAATTCCAAACTTATAAATGCAAAGCGACCTTGAAGCCAATACAAATCTGTCTGGACATTCGCTTTCTATTCCCAGCAACTCAACAGGATGACTGAAAGTGTGAGCTCTTAGATGCTTAAACCATGAACTCGCAATGTCGAAACAATTAAGAAGGAAGTCTTCAGAAACTACTATCTTGTCTTCTTCCAAACAGCTTCTAAAACTGAAATGCGGTAAGCTTCTCAGAGAGCTCATTAGAACTCTTGTGATTCCTTTTGAGATCAACTATCCAGTAGCAGAATGCAGTACGGAATTGAAGCACCGATCCACTCTTATTTTTTTGTTAGCAGGTTAAGCTGCCATTTCTTGCCATTTCCTGTCAGTTCGTTAGTTTTGCTGTTACCAGAGTTTCCGCTAAGATCTAGCATCCATACTTATCACAAAGTGGCCTGATGTTACAGATAGTGTGGTTAGGCATTACTTAACTAGTTTTGAACACACGATTAGTGAACTGAAACATTTAGTCACTTCTCTGAAGGCGGCTACATTTCGGAACAGTAGTTCTACTGTTAGCTTGTTGCGATGTTTTTGCGAGCACCAATATATTCTATGCTCTAATCTAAATATGGCTGACATTCGGTAAAATATGGATTAGAGCTTTAAAAATCTTTTAGAAGGAAAGTTTAAATTGACTAACTGCTCTAGACAACCTGCTCTGCACTCAGCAGAAATGGCAAGCTTTTTCGGTAAGTTGACTGTTGAGACTTTTTAAATTGGATTGAGGAGATACCGTCAATCTGCGTAATTTTTAACCGTTAAGATGAATTATTTGCTAAGAAAAAAATTTCTATTTTTCGAATAAAAGATTAAAATTTCGTAAATGTAACAAATAGTGAGAGTGTATGAGATGAGTGCGAGAAATATATATGATACATATATTAAAAAGAAATATATTAAAAAGGAAGATTTTAAAAAGGAATATATTAAAAACGAACTGCTTAAAGTCAAAATTGTTGCGTTGACCAGGCATATTTCCGAAAATTTCAAACAAACGTAGCTATTCTTAAAGTTCAAGCGCATTTATATGGACGAATGTGCACATGAACTCCACACATTTACTTCTTCAATGTTGGCCTTGTTGCCATAACAACAAATAGACCGAAAACAACAACATAATATCAATATGTGCATATATGTATGTATATATGTACGGGTATATGAAAAGCTAGACGATGCGCAGCGTGGCTTCCGCTTCGGAAGCTAATAGATAGATATAACCTCGAATATATTTACATATGTATGCGCTGTATATATGTATATAAGAGTATGTACATAAATAAACATGTGATATACTTGTACATATGTATATAGGTACATGTAATCGAATGAAAAAATTGTCAAAAGCCCTTAAAAAAAGCAAATACACACATGTTTAGTTAACTTTTTCAAACACGGTAGCAATAATACATGCTTAACAGACTATAACTCTGCCACACAATTTCTTTGCGCACTTATTTAACCACACTTTTCGCGATTGTAGTCATTGTATTTTTTGAATAATTTACGATTTTCCCGCCGTTTTCGCAAGCATACTATATAAAGCGACTGCACTAAAGCACCGCCGACCGCAGCAAAAGACGCACCCGAGCGCGACAGCGTAAAATGTCCAACTGTACGTATGGTTTATACCGTTAGCGAGCACATTGGTCGAGCTACTAACGGCAGCACTACGCTACGCTCAGCTATTTAGCATTGGTAGCCTTGTTGTCGTGCCGAAGCGACACGAAGTGCAAAGGATTGTATGGAAATGTTCTATTTTTTTACACATTAATTACAAGTCGGCTTGTGAGCGCGTTCGATGAGAGCAAACTTGTAAGTGCGCCGCCGCCGCTGACAGTGCATTTGAAAAGTATGCGTTTGCCAATAATTTTTATGAATGAACCGCAAAGAGGTTGGTGTATACTACGAGGGGTATATATAAGTGTCGACGCTGGAGTATCGCAATTTGTACGCCAAAGCGGCCGATAGTAATGTGTAGTAATGTGGTGGGTGGTTGTTGCCATCGGCCGATAGCATTCAGCTCGGCTGTTTGTTGGTTGTAGAAATTGTTTTATTTTTGTTTGTTTTTTTTTTTGCCTGTGATGGCGCAATAAATTTTATTCACCCAAAATGACATTAATAACCTTTCGCTCGAGCACCTTTAACTTCGACCAAATTACAAATGATAGGTAGGGTAAAGTGGCGAGTAGTGTGGAAAAGCCACGATTTTGCTGTGAAATTAATAACAGCAAATCAACGTAAATTTACTCAAATTTGAAAATTGTGTTTATTTATTTATTTTTTTTTTGAGGAGACTGATACGTCGATTTTAAATTTACTTAATCCTTCACACTTCAATGCTGATTTTTTTGTTTTTGTAATAGGAATAAAGCGCATCTTTCGGATATATATTTACAAAGGATTTTAGAATTTTCTAGACATTTCGATAGCTTGGGTCGTAAAATTAACAGACAAAGATAAAAAGTCATATTTATGCTATTTTTTTGTATTTTCCATTTTCAGCTAAAGTATTTAGAAAACTTGGAATACCAGCAACACAGGGCATCCCAAAAATTTCTACTAAGAGGGATCTCAGTAATATAGTAGGGGTCATGCCTTAAGATCCTACCTTCAGAAAATTGGAAAAGTGGTTTCGGCGGGAGACAGAGCATGCGCGGAGCATGCTGAGACGCTGAAACATTATCTTTGCGAATGCGCGGCTTTTAGCTGCATGAGAGCGAATATATTCCACGACACCAAATGCTCTAACTTAAGAGACCTTGAGCAGTGAGTGTTGTTATCAGCCGATTTTACACTATATAAGGATGTACCGAAAGTACAACTTACCAGCAAGCTTGTTTGATATAGTTTTAGTAGTTTGTGGGACGTGTATATAAAAACTATTGAGAAGAAGGCGGCAAGTGTATAAATTGTATAAAAGTGAGTAGTTGCATTTCGTGCCTTTTAGAAAGTAAAATGTGACTAGTTCATAAAAGCTTGAAACATCTTAGTCGTTTCATAGGTTGAGTACAGAAATCGGGAGGGTTCTTCATAGGTTGAGTGCAAACAAAAAATGCAGTGTTCATTCCATATATGGTACTATAAAGAACCAACGTGCCGTTAGTCACATGTTACGATCGTCGAGTCATCCTAGTCTTGTGGCATTTTTTGCTGGGTATGTAAGCATGTCCATATATATACATATGTGTACCTAGCTATGTATATTATGTGCTTAGCTATGTCTGTTTTGGTGTCTAAACATTAAATACCGTTAGAATGGCTACAAAGTCCCTGAGGATTTCTAATGTTCTCGCAGATATGAAGTTGTGTCAGCATTTGATAGTCCTGCTAGCTTTGCCCAACCTGTGTGTTGCTGTAATTTGGCTTAACTGATAAAGACACTTTGGCACCCACTATCATATACTAGTACACTTTGTTTTTTGCTAGTTTTGCAATAAAAAAAATGGCGTTACATACGAGTATGTGTGTGTTAGTTGAGCAGAAATTCGTCCTCACATTACTAAATGCTTAGTTAGCTTTTTATGAGCATGATGTAAGTGCTGCTGAAAATCTTAATAATGCGGCAGATATATACATATGTAGATATATAGTTTTTAGGTATATACGGCAATTTTACATACATTTACAATATTTACATGTATGACATCACACATATTTGCGAATTCCACCACTTCGGCATTGTTTGCTATAACTTTTGATTTGATTATGCTGTCGCCTTTGCAACATACAAGCGCACATATATACAAGTATATATACACAGTTACTGATATGTATATGCGCCGGTGGTGTGTTACAGTTGACATTGAATGCTTTTCATTTACTACACAATCGGTGCTGTTCTTTTTTGGCCGCTGTGTATGTGCGTGTGCCTCGGATATTCTCGTGATTGCGTGCCACATGAGGCGCATTAAGTGTCTGGGCCGCGTCCGTTTACCGCTATGCGACCGTTATGCAATCCACCTACATTTTTTGGGGTGGCAAAGCGCTGCTTCTACGTGCGTGACTGTCTGTCTATCGGCCGGTTTTGGTTTTGTACGCTCTCTTCTCCTTCACTTTGCACATTTGCTGTTCATTGCCCTCTTTGGGGGTGCTTTGTTGGTGTTTTGGCGAAGTATCTCTTTGCTTGTGGGTGTTTGTTCTATTTGTTTGCTCGGGTATCTGCTGAACATTTAGTGCCGGATTTGGTTTGTTTTAAATGCGAAAATCTCTGTGCCGGATTATAAAGTAATTTATTGTTTTATTGCACACTCTTCTCGGAGTGCGGCCGTTCGTGTGAATGTGTGCATGTGCTGTGTGGACGGCTATGATAAGTGCCAATCATGCCGGGACATGCGCCGACATAGTTTCGAATAATAAAACTTTTAATATAAAAACTTAGAAAATGAATGTGTACAAACAAAAGTGCCCTTCCGAGAGATGAGGCGCATAAAATAAGTGTGCGTGTGTGTGCATTCGTATAAGTGTTTGTTGTCGTAAGCCCAAAGCGCAAATAATTGAGTTGTTTTGTCTGACAAACAGGCAATAAGTGAAGAAAGTTTACTTTTATAGCATTTTTGTCGACTAGAAAAATTTAATTGGAGCTTCTAGAAAAAATTTAAATTTAGTTGGCGTTATAAAGAGTCGAATTTTTTAGCAGCAAAATCATTCATCATAGACAGCTACGGGTAGTAATTACTTGGTACCAAATCTGGACTTAAGTATCCACCATAAGAACCGCCAAACTAAGCTCCAATAGTAGATCATTCCCAGCCAATTCCACCAAACACATGACAAAACCTTCTTGACCGTCAATTCTGGCTTGACAGAAAAGGGCCTATAACTCTCTAATTAATATTTTTAGATTCAAAAAGTGGCTCGACTATTATGCAAATGAGTCGGTAAAGATGAAGGCAAAATTGCATAAAGACCTCGGAGCTTTAGACCATGTAACCGGTATCCGAAGAAAAAGCGCTTTTTCTTACAAAAAAGCCTCTTCTTCCATTGGTACGACAAATGGGCTTTTGAGCGCATTCAGTATTATTTCATAAATCCAATTACCTTTGAAGTCCATGTCATGTCAGACTAACATACATAAAGAATAGAGAGGCTTTTTCTAAGACATAACATTAGTCTAGATGATTAGGATAGAATCCAAGTATTGCTCAGTCCAACTCTTCTACAAGCTTCATTGTGTTTAACCGTATGTTTACTACTCTTCCGTCATCATTTGCACAACAATATTTGTGAATATCCTCTCTTTTTGTCTAACTATTCGACTACATCTCCACATGTTAGCTTGTCTATTAGCGCACTCCTACGTTCGCTAACGATTTTAGTGAGCTCAATCGTCGCTGTTGGCTTCAAATTGTTGCTATTTCAATTTTTTTTCGTATATGTGTATGGATGAGATACATAACAGGGTATGTAGTTTAGTACAACTATAAAATAATCCGATGTCAACTTAAATGTCAGTAAGTTACATTAGGTTAAGTTAGGATAGGTTATAGGACTAATTCTTGCAGCAAAAGTAACGTAAAGTTCCTCACCTGCCAGCGCTGGTCTTTTGTGTTTTCCAAAACAGCTAGATGTGGGTAAACAGACCCTTATAGATCAAAGAAGTATTTCGAGCTAACCACAAATTTGTTAACACACTTAATATCAATCTCATCCCCCTCGCCAAGTGTGCCGAAGTGTGTCTTTCGTGGTGTTTTAACCGCAGTCTGGCAAAATCTGGGTATGTTGATATGAAAGTACCTAGATAATTCCAGCTCGCCTTCCTCCATACAGTTCAGAAGACCTCTAACGTTCCACTTTGGGTCAGAAAGATTTCGCGCAGCCATATAAGTTCACGGTAGGTTCATGATTCAAAGCTAGAGCACAAGGGGGGACAGCGTTCCCATTAAGATATACTTCATGCTATACTGAATATCCGAAAATTCAGTTAGTTGTTGGAAATTTATTTTGGTTATATTGGATCTAGGGGAACGTATGAACTGTTTATGATATTAAAGTACATTTTGCTTTGTGAGAACACGCCTAGTCAACATAAACTTCATGAAATATACATCCGGAATATTGATCTAAGTACATCTAAGGGAAGGACCCTCCTAGTCGACATAAACTCAAAGAAATATACATCCGGAGTATAGATCTAAATAGATCTAAGAGAAGGGCCGTTTCGCACACCCACAAATTTTTCTCTTATCTCATCGGTTTTTTTTTGCCTTTCTGGTTTGTCTGCCTGCTCATTTGTTTAGCTATTTGACTGTTTGTGTTTTCATTCGTTTATGTCCACTTTTGTCTGTTGCTTTTCAATACAAAGCTGTGCTTATGCAGTTGTGTGTGTAGCTTTTCTGGCTTCAATGTCAATTGGTACGATAGTCGGACGCTGTAGAGTTTCAGAAGATAGTCGGTCAGCAGACGAACTTTCAAAATTTTTGGTCAGTCAGTCAGTCAACAGCAAATAATCGAGTCCATACAAACGTTTGTTCAGCTTTGGTCAACGTCCTTTCGGTCGTTGCACTAATCCATGTACTGGAAATGTAACTTTTGTGAGCGCTAATGAGCAGCGGACTACATGTATCATGTTGACATGGCATGTATGTAGACGGTTAGTCATTGCAGCTATGTGTAGATTTCATGGAATTCACCTGCTTGTATAAAATGCATATGTATTTG